TCCTTTTCTTTGTGTAAACGTTTTCTTGAGATTAGATATATATGTATTTGTTGAAAGTTCGTGTTACTTTTTCTCTATATCCATAGATTGAAAAACAATACAAAAAGAGTTAATTCAAAAGCCTCGAGAAATTTAAGATAGGTAATGATATCTTATGGCAACATAGTCTACTAAATGGCTTAAAATAGTTTCGTTTTGTGTATACAACGCAAAAAAAGAAGTATAGATACATAAAATAATATACGACTTTGATTCCTTTCCCTGATCAACTCCAATTACTCCTAGTCACTGCTAATCACCCCTAATCACTGTTAATCACTGTTAATCAATCCTAATCAATCCTAATCACTACTAATCAGCCCTAATCAACCCTGATCACTGCTAATCACTATTAATCACTATTAATCACTGCTAATCACGTCTAATCAAATAATCAGCTGTTTCCCCCTTGTATATTGATCACCAATCGCACAATTACTTAGTTCTGGACCTAAAATATTGAATATATTTTGAGAAGGGAATAATGAAGAAATTCAATCGTTTTAATAATGAAAATATTCAGTTATGGCAATTTACTTGTTTTCTCAAATGAAAAGATTTTCCAGCAGATTGAAATATGTGCATTTTTCACATATAAGTAACAACTTTTACAAGATTTTGAGTCTTCAAAAACTGCATATTAATAAAGATTCAAAAGGCTGTAAGTATGAACATCCAAAATGTGGAAAATCTATTTATAGTTCACGTTAAACAGATGTCTTTTCTAACACATCAATAGACTGAAAGATTTTGTTAACTATTTAACACAATAACTCGATAGATCTTTTGTCAAAACCTATAGTGTCATCAAAAGGATCGTATAAATACTTACTGAAACGACTAAGACTGACATTGTTTGGTCCAGAGATATAAACAAAAAAGTTGCCAATTGTCTTAGGGTCGCGTGTTGTCACAACTAATATGTATCGAGTGTTGATTTTGAGATCGATGATTAGTTTGAATTTTCCATCATTACATTTACCACCATGTGATAGGGGTAAATTTTTAGATGGGTTTAGAGGATTGAAATCATTTTTGTAGATATATCCATATGCATTAATATTATTTTCACTCCAAAGAACATACGAACCCGTTGTATTGACATGAATTTGTGAAGTTTCATAATGGCATTCTGGTACTTGATAATCTCGGTAATATGTTGGACTATCATCAATTAATTTTGATGAATATATTAATTGAATATTTATTGGAGTACCTGTTTAATGAATAAAACTCAAATAATTCATAGAATTTTGATACTATTATCTAACATCAACAAAAGCGAAATCTTTGAGATTTTCTATAAAAATTTAATTTTACAAATAGATATTAGTAAATGTAGCAAACCCACATTCTCCGAGTGAGTATTCTAAAACCAATATGCTATAAAAATCTAAAAGTACTAAGTTACTGCAAGATATCTTTTAGATTTTAAGTAACTGACTCTTAAATTTTTTTAAAGCATTTTTCATCTAGTATCTGAAGGAACTGAACAGTATTCATCTACTAAGATAATGATAGCACAATATACGAATAGCTATCCTGCTGAATAACACCTTAATATTTGATAACATGAGTTCAGTATATTCTCTAATTAAAAGACATCCTTTATATTTTATATGAATTATTTAATATATAGCGCAAGTATCTATATACTTACTGAGACGTTCGAGAATAATTTTGTTTTTACCCAACACATCGATCGAAAATTGTCCAGTTTCTTTTGATTCGTATGTTGTCACAACCAATATATATATGATGTTAGCATCAAGACGAATATCAAGTTTAAACTGAGTATCAGAACTGCTATAGCCACCTATTTTCAGTAAATTCTCCGATGGATCAAGTGGATTGAATTTATTTTTATATATAGATCCATACACATCGATAGTGCCGCTACCATGAAAAGCATAAGAATCACTTTCGACCACCTTCACTTGGATAGATTCATAATAAAAGTTTGATTTGTCACAATTCCGGAAATAAATTTGATTGTTCTTAGTCAACGATGATGAATAAGTATTTTTAACAGCCAAGGAAATATTGGCTAAATAAACAACAAAGTCAATGGAAGTTTATCGTAAGTACACATAGAGATGTAGATCTTTTTCAATAAGAATTTGTTTCGCTTTAAATACACGTTTCTAACCTATTGAATCGATAATCTGTGCTCAAAAGGATAAAAAAACTGTTTCTCAACCACAAAGCATTTTTTCCACATTTTAAAACGAGAGGATGTGGACTCTAGAAGGAATCAGAATCATCATCTTTGAATAATCTTATTCATGCAATAACTAATCTTGAATATGTGATAGATAAAAATATTTACCTAATGTTTCATTGCTGGGAATAAAGAGAAGAATAATGATAAATATAGAGATATTCAACATCATTCAACAAGATTTCTTTTCGATTGATTAGTTAACTGATGAAATAATACTTTTCTTCTTTATCTTCAATGAAAATAAAATGACATTCATTATGAATTTTCCCTCTAGTTATATCTCTTTCTTTCTTTCTTTCTCTCCCTTTTTCTCTTATTTATTTTCTCTAAAATAATATAAAGAGAAAAAATAATGTTCTAGAGAAGGTTTAATCGTAGACAAGATAAAAATTGATTTCAGATTTGATTATGGAATTTCATTCTTTTCGAAAACACAAAATGAAATTTAAATTCGAAATAATCCTTTTTTTTGATTTTTTAGAAAAATCTTTGATTTTAATGAAGAAGAACGTGATAAAGAGAAAGAAGAATTGATCAAAGTCTAGATTAATCATCGAACGTGTTTTCATTGAAAATAAGATATTAAATATCATTATCAATAAATGATTGACGTCAATGACTAAGTCATGACTAGTTTGATATATTTTTATTTGAATCTATCAAATAATTTACTTTGTCAGGACTCATTTTTAATCATGTTCTCTATTTCTCTATGTAATAAATATTTTTGAGTCTGAGAAACAGCAAAAAGATGCATAAACATCCGACGAAAGAGCCGAAAAGAGATTGTTATTGTTTTTTAGAAAATTCGTCAATTTTTCGTAAGATTCTTATCAAATAATGTGAACATTGTCTTTAAAAGATCGTGGAGACTGTGCTGCGGCATAGCGACTAGAGATTTTGTTAAATCACAATGAAAAAATACATGAACTAAGATTCAGATTTCATGTACTAAAACACAGCATATACGAAGCCTTGACGAATCTTTTCAATTAATAATAATAGTTTTAGTTGAAAATTGTCATAGGTGTAATACCTAGTTTGCTACAGAAAAAAAACAATTGGCTAAGACCGCCATTACGTTGTCAAAGATGCTTTTGGCAACATAGATTAAGCTTAGATTCTTCTTTATCATCTTAATATAGAAATGTAAATAACTGATGTATTATCGAAAGATCTCAATATTTGATAATTTTAATTAATTAAAGTCTTTTCTTATTCTTGATTATCGCCAACAATTTCATGTATTTTTAATGCAAGATTATGTGTGGAGGTGCCGGTGAACATTAAGAGAAGATACACTCACACCCAAACCCTCAAAATTCTGCAAAATCTGGTGTTAAACTGATGAACATGGATGTGTGTTTGTCGATAATCGTGAGTTAAAGATAAACGAAAACAACCACATCCATACCCTCAAGATAATAATAAAATTTCGATAGGAATTGTTTTTGTATAAAGCTTAATTAACGGATGGATTATAATGAATAGTCACATTTTTTATTTTACTTTTTGATCTAATACGTTTTATTAAAAAATATTTTAATTATAGAGCTTTTCACGCTGCTTCTTGTGGTATATTTTGTTCTTTAGTAGAACGCGGTGATTCATTATGGCTCACACCCGTTGGTTAAATTTTATACACAAATAATTCTTATCAAAATTTGACTATAATGATATTAGTTGAAGTATAATAAAATAGCATAGAAAAATAGAATTTCATTTTATCTATTATCTCGTACAAAAAGAAAGTTTCCTTAAGCTTTGTATGCAATTAGATAAAATATTTCGGCGACTTCTTTTAGATATTCGTAAGTGTCTACATAAAGAAACTCTAAAAAGGTTGTTTTTTTCTTCTTCAATAGAAAGAAAGAAAAAAAGAAAAAACATAAATTATGTAGACAACAAATAAAAAAACATTTTTCTTCTTTCTGTAATAAAATAAAAAGGAAGAAAAAGAACACTTCGGCGAAGTTTGTTGTTGCATCAACACGTTTTTATCTAAATATTCCAAATACTTTGAATAAGAGTAGGTTGCATTTATTGTTTTTGTTTTCTTCAGTATAAATTTTACTTCGGCTTATTTTGTTATCAGGATGGGAGCGAACAAATCAAAATCTAAGTTTGAAGAATTAGAAGAAAAACAAAATGCGTTGATGAAACAAAATGCTGATATGGCTAAACGTCTTGCTGAACAAGAAGAAGCTAATAAACGACAACATGAAGCAACTGTAGGACAAATAGCTAAAATGATCTTAGTTCTTGCACAATCAGATGGTAATGAAACAGTAATACGTAATGAAAATCGAGAAGTAGAAATTGAAGGAGTTACTTATGAACTTATTCAATTTGTTAATCGAGGTGGTTTTGGAGAAGTTCATAAAGCTAAAGTAAAAACTAAAAATGAAATAGTTGCTATTAAAATTATGAAAAATACTCCTGGATTACAAGAAGAAGTTAAAAATGAAATAAATTTTTTACGTTTAACAAAAAGAATTGCAATTGATAATCATCCTATTATTGAATATTATGGAAGTAAATTAACTAACGAAGGCATTTTTATTGCTATGGAATTAGCTGCTTGTGATCTTCTTACATTTTGGATGGATTTAATAAAGGGTGGTGAATCAGATAAGTTAAATTTATATGGAATAATAATAATGGTTTATGTTTTACGTGCATTGACATTTCTTGAAAAATTAAATATTGTACATGGTGATATCAAACCACAAAATTTAGTAATTGTACCTGATGGAGATAATTTTTGTATTAAATTAATTGATTTTGGTACAGTAGAGAAAATGAATACTCGATGTGCTCAAATGACAGTTGATATTACGAAAGGTTTTACTTTATTTTTTGTTTCACCAGAATTTTTACAACGTGATTCAAAAAATATTATTTCAAGACATTTACATAAAAAATCCGATGTTTGGGCTGCTGGTGTTATGTTTTATCTTTTGTTTTGTGGTCAATTACCATGGGAAGATCAATATGACTATGAAAATTTTTGTAATGATAAAAATGGTAAAGATATTGTTATTCCTGATATTGGTGGTTATAAAATGATTATTGAACTTTTATTAAAGAAAAATCCTGATCATCGTTCTACTGCTAAAGCAACATTAATGCAATTAAAAGCTCATCCCGTATTTGGAACAATTGTTAAAGCATTACATGAAAAATTTTGTCCAGTCGATGATGTATGTTATATGAAAGTACCTGATGATGTTAGACAAGGTTTACGTAAGTCAATTATCTATTGGAGAAAATTTATTTAATAGAATTACATTTTAGTTAAACTTGCACGACCTGGTCATATGGCTAATGCATCCAATTCATCATCAACAGGTATGACAAGTAATTCGAGAATTAAAATATCATATTTTTATTTTAATTTCAATAGCTGGATCCCGGCGTTATTGTCGATATGGTCGAGAATGTTACAAGTATTAGAAAAAAAAGATCTTTTCTTGAATTTTAATTACCTGTGAATTTATTTGTGTATAGTAAAGATACTGATCATCGGAAAGAGTTTGTACATCCAAATGATGCAGATTATCATGGTGCAAAAGATTTGGCTAATCATGATTTTGAAAAACCAGCATGTCGTTATGGAAAAGCTTGCTTTCGGTAATGGAATTTTTTCACTTAAGTGATTGTGTAGAGTGTGGGTGTGAGTAAACATGAGATACGCACACCCACATCCATCTACGATATTAATCTAAGATAGGATAGGAACGTATCTGAATCTATGATAAAAATATAAATGAAACTTAATGAATTTATTGTCATTTTATTTGTTCTTTTTTTTCTTGTAAAAGTACTGATCAAGATCATTTGAAAAAATTTTCACATCCAGGTGGAAGTACTACTCGTTCTTCAGACAAACAATGGTGTCGCTATGGAGCTGATTGTTACAAGTATGTTGAACTCTTTATATATCTTTTTAATTATTGATGAGAATCTTTTTATCGGAGTAAATAAATTTGATCTCATGAAACAAGTAAAAAGTCTTTTGATCAAATTATATATATATACGTTATTTTTCTCTTTCAAAGTAATGATACCGATCATCGTGAACAATTTATTCATTCGAAAAATGCAAGTCAAACTCATTCTGATAAACAAACATGTCGGTTTGGAAAAGCTTGCACAAAGTATGTTTAAGTTTCATTAAATTCTATTTATTGTCTTACCAATCATATACATCTAGGAGAAACGATCAAATTCATATGAAAACATATCTACATAATTGATTTTATTCAACTGAACTTATCGAATTTTAATTTCTTTTTTACATGAATTAGACTCGAATTTTGAACTATTAATACATATATTTTATACAGATTGATATCATAATAATTAAATAAATGCACTGGACGAAATATTGATCTTTCTTACTTTTTATTTTTAGTTTTCGTATTTGAATTTATTTATGTGAATATTGATATTTCATCTGAAAATTATTCGTTTAAATCTATTAACATGTGACCTTTCCTATTCTTATTTAATGGACATAACTTTTGAGACATCCTATTGAGTTGACTAGTAACATAATGCAGAAGTTTCAAAGTATGTGGATCATTTTCTTAGATTTATTGAACACACTCACACCTATATTTATTTAAAATTCTTTATGAATATTTTCAAGAAGTTGATCGAGTTTTTTAGAGTCTCCTCCAAAGAGGTCAATAACACGTTTACGAGCCTTTTGGACGATACCGAACCACATCGTTGTCAACGCAGCAAAATTTTTCTCAAGTGCAGCGATGATAATGGCTGAGACCAGTATTTGACTCTCAACTTCACTATTTCCCGATACGAATTCTCCAAGTGTTTTTCCAGTCAAATTCTTAATTGTGTTTGAGTCAAGATCCCATAAACCATCAAATTTTTGTTTGTTGATCAAATATCGAACAATGTCTTGATCATTCGATGGCCAAATTTCTTTCTCTGAAGACTTTTTCTCTGCTTTTTTCTTGGTCATAGACGATAATGAATACGATAAGTCAGCACCGTCAGCACAGTCAGCAAAAGACATACTATCACCAAACCGTAGTTGCGACGATTTCATTTGAGGCATTGCACATGATGACATTGATAGCATGGCCACAGAGCGCTTACGGCTTGTAGTTGAAGACATCATCATACTGTGTCTAGCACCGCCTCCAGCACCAGCAAAGAATAGTTGTTGTGTCGGTATTTGTAAATGTTGATCGTCAGCAGAGATTTGAATAGGCACTTCGCGGAGAACCATATCGGCATTATTTCCATTTGTTCGTTTTTCTATGCCAACAAATGCCGTATGAGGACTTAAAATATTATATTTCAATGATAATGCAATAATCTGTTGCTTAATTGTCTCTTCCGATGATGTTTCCATTTTCTCTACGTTTGTTGTCGTCGTCGTTTCTTGAAGTTCTTGAAAACGCGACTGTTTTGAACCTGATGTTACCTTGCTGGTAGTTGATGAGGGTAGTTTACTATGTTGCAGTTCAAGAATGAGTGCTTTAGCTGCTAGACGAGCTAGTATACCGTTATTGCTTATATTTGGTATACGATTAATTTTAGCCACGCCAAGTGAATGATGATCGGATCCTGTTTGTAATTCGACAGATGAATTGTGATCAAAAACAGTGGTTTTATCATCGAGCAGAGCATAAATAATTAAACGATCGTTGACGTAAACTGGTGGGGAATGTGTTGGGGCAGTTTGCACAGGAACTCCAAGATTCCATTTGACATGAACATTAGTAATACATGGTTGAAGAGCTTTTTGTAATTGTTCTCCAACATATATATCGACGTTTACATTTGGTGGAATAAAAACAAATCGACCATTGGTTGCACGAGCGAGACCTTTTACTAACGATCGACTAGGTGATTGACCTAAACCAAATGAAAATATACGAGTTGATGTGGCCATTGAACGACAGAGATCGAGCACTTGTGTTACATTTGAAATTTCACCATCGGTTAAAAGAAATATTTGACGAGCATGACCTTGAGTAGGTGGATGTTCTTCAATCCATTGTAAAGGTCGCAACTAAAAATAGATGTAAATATAAGAATGATTAAAGTTTAACAAAAAGAAATAAAACTTACCAATTCAGTTCCACCAAGATCTGCTTGCATTCCTTGGATGAGTTCTTCAGCTTGTTTAGCGTTACTCTCATTGTAAACAGCGGTAATTTCGTTGAAGAGAGATTTATATTGAGAGCCAAATCGAATGATATTAAAATGACAATTGACCGGTAAACTCTTGAAGAAGAGTAACATTGCTTGTCGAGCTAATCCAATTTTATTTTCGTCTCGCATTGATCCACTACAATCGACGACAAAAATAAATTCATTAGTTAAATCATTCTTCGATACTTGTTGACATTCTTCTTCTGTTGGAATAAAAGCAGCCATTACAGCACCAGGTTCAACAGCAGCAATAGTATTATTTCGTTTATTGGATAATTCAATATTAATTAGAATATCTCGATCCAAATGAGTATTCTGTTGAGCAAATGTTACAACATAAGCATCTTGTTGTGCTAAATTAATTTCAATTGGATGTGATGATGAACTAACTCGAGTTATTTGTTCTTCAAGAGATGCAACTAGTTTTTCAATTTGACAACGAAAATCTATGGTATATGAACTTGATTGAACATATTTCGAATTCGTACCAGCTGGTGACGCAATACCACTTTTCTCAGGATTATAACGTGGTGCAATTGTTGTTGGAATAACAAATCGAATAGTTGATCCTTGAACAAGTTCCAATTCTGTTACATAACTAATAGTAATTGTACATTCTTTTGATGGTAACAAAGCACCAACATTAATTATAAAATTGTCTTGAGATTTTTCATCTTGTTCCAATAGATAAGCGCCATGACCTTGTTGTAAAGCATCGTTATATTCTTTTTGTGCTTCTTTTTTCTCTTTTAATTCAGCAATAACTTCTCGATCGTCAATTCGAGCGACAAATTTATAAATTGCTGCTTGTTCTTCAATAGGAAAACAATAAACTGCTTCGATTGATGTTGTTTCATCGTTGCGAAATACTTGTGTAATAGTTACATCCGCAGCAAATGCACGAATTGTTGCGTCAATACTCACTTTTTTCAAAGGTACATACTCTGTTTGTTGTTGTTGTCGATGAGGAACAAGAATAGATGTGGTCGGATTAGGTTTGATTCGAAGCATGTTAGAAGTTTTATGTAATGGTATTGTCGACTGGTGTGTCGCTTCTTTATATAGGGTTGTTGGCTTGAGTCAATATTGTCGGAGAGAACGAGAAAGAATTTATCATATATTAGATGAATCAGAGTAACTATACTATCGTATCACAGTGAAGAGAAATGAATAAAAAGAATGTTCTAGTCATTGACTCACTATGACTCATAGAATGAGGATGACTGTATGTGGGTATTTTTTTTTTGTTTTGGTTTATTACATCAATATTCTTATATCATTGAAATTATCTAAGAAACCATTAATAAAATCAGTAAACAATCAATATTGTGTTTCTTACAAAAAGAATATATTCGTTATTCTTTTATATTGAGTGTTAAAGAAAAGAATATCTAACGTATAAAATAAAAAGAACATTTAGTTCCGACTATTTGTTAAGTAAATGTTATGTGTGAATAAAATTACTTTTTTTTTTATTTAAGTCATATATTTTGATTAAAATCAATACAAATTATAACAGTTTTTTTCTTCCCGTAAATGCAATCTTATTTGATTGGTACGTGTGTGATAAACATACTATGTTATAAGAACTAATTCAATTCATCGTACTTCCTAACGAAGTAAAAATAGAATGAGTTGTTGTATTAGAATGTCAAATAAAATCAATATACCTATATAATAAAATTTATGACGTTCTTTCCTTCTACTATATTTCTCTCTTTTTTATGTATGTCTAAAAGCGATTTGATTTATGGCTTCTTTCTTTTTCGATACTGATATGACATGACTAACGTCTGAATCATATTCATCGAACAAAATTGTTCAAAGATAAGAAATTAAAGTATTCTTTACTTTATTGTTATGTTGTATTTAGTATTAAGTACATGTTAGAGAATGACATACATCATCCTCTTTTCTTTCACATATATATACTGTCTTTTTCGATTTAACTAGTCCAGTACAAGCAGTACTTTTATATATTTATTCTTCTTCTTACATTTCTCTTTTTTTTCACTTGTCGACTATTGGTATGTATCTAACTTTGATAAAAGAGAATCATTATACTATAATGTATACACGAGAGAGTGTGTTTTAAGAGAAAATAAGTTAGTTTTATGTTTGTCAATTCTAGAATCTAGATGGAAAAATCTATAGTTGATAATAAAGAATATTCTACAGATATTCTAATTAATGATGAATTTAATGACGACATATCAACAAGACATGAGAAAGGTAATAATTCTATAATTATTATTTAGAAACGAAAGAAAAATAATTAGTTAATTGTTCTTTTAAAGATGTTTGAACTATTTTCCTAAAGGATGAATATTATTAATTTTCATTTTCAACGTTACATTTTTATTCAGTAAATAATGAACCGACTATTATAACAACGGATACGAACTCAGCTATGAAAATATCAATTCCACGATATGATCTCGCAGCATTATGGGATAAACATTGCGAACATGAATTTAATAGACGTGATGTTGCTGCTACAATGTTAACGATGGTATCAGATCCTTATGTTAATCATATTCCAACAATGATAGGTGGTGTTGGTGCGAAAGATTTATCACGTTTTTATGAGCATCATTTTCTTAATAATAATCCAGATGATACAAAAATAATTCCAATCTCACGTGTAGTTGGAACTGATCGTGTTGTAGATGAAATGTTATTCTGTTTTACTCATGATCGTGAAATTGATTGGATGTTACCTAATATTTCACCTACTGGTAAATATGTTAAAATACCATTGGTTGCTATTGTTACTTTTCGTGATGGAAAAATTTGTAATGAACATATCTATTGGGATCAAGCTTCAGTATTGGTACAAATAGGTCTTTTGGATAATACAAATTTACCAGTAGCTGGTGTTGAAACAGCTAACAAATTGATCGATAAGAATCTTCCTTCAAATACTCTCATGAAACGTTGGATAGAAAGTGACAACAAAAAATAAATAATATAGATATTATACTCTATCGAGAGTTTTTTATTATCTTTTTTCGTTTCGTGAATAAATAAGAACAAATTTAAAGAACTAGTAGGAAACAAAAAGAAATGGAAGTTATTTTTTTGCAATATTTTCTAAATAATTCAATAACTGATCTTCTTCTAATTTTGAAAATATATCAGAGATTTTTTGTTTAAATTTATTATAATTATCCAAAGTAAATAATTTCATTCGAAGTTTATCCAAATAAATTGAGAAATTTTGTATATCATCAAGAAATAAAGATTCGAATGTTTTCATTAGGAAGAATATTGGTACAGTTGGATCATCATATTTTCTAACGAATTGTAAGACTTTATTAGAAAAAGAAAGATTTGATTTGACTAACACAGGAATACTTTGACGAAT